GATATCACTAGGGATGCTGGACTCAAGTGGTTATTCATACAAGTCAGAAAACGGGAATCTCAAAGTGCTCAAGGGCTCTATGATTGTGCTAAAGGGCAATTTACGACATGGGCTCTACATTCTACAAGGAAAGGTTGTCACTGGTACTGCTGCAGTGGCAACAAACGGCTCAGATGAGACTCAGATTTGGCATCGGAGACTAGGTCACATTAGCATGAAGGGACTTGAAGAACTCAGCAAACTCAGGGTTATTGATTCAAAGAAGATCAGTTCCATGGGCCTATGCGAAACCTGCATCCTTGGAAAATCACATAGGTTGAAATTTTCTCCATCTACCCAGAGAGCAGAAGGCATTTTGAACTACATTCATTCTAACTTGTGGGGTTCACCTCAGGTACCTCTCTCCCTTTCAAATTCCCAATACTTTATTTCTTTCATTGATGACTACTCTAGGAAAGTCTAGGTATATTTCCTGAAAACAAAGAACCTAGCTTTTGAGAAGTTTGTAGAATGGAAGACTTTAGTAGAAAATCAAACTGGAAAAAGAATTAGAAAGCTGAGAACTGATAATGGTCTGGAGTTCATGAATGATATTTTCTCAGGATATTGCACTAAAATTGGTATAGATAGGCACATGACTTGTACGGATACACCTCAACAAAATGGCCTTGCTGAGAGAATGAATAGAACCCTGTTGAATAAAGTTAGATGCATGTTGCACGAATCAGGCCTAAATAAAAGATTTTGGGCAGAAGCCACCTCCACGGCATGTTATCTAGTAAATAGGTCTCCTTCATCTGCCATAAGATTTAAAACCCCACAACACCTATGGACAGGTAAAGCTCATAGGTTGTCACACTTAAAACCCTTTGGTTGCATTGCATATATGCACAAAAGTCAGGGAAAACTAAATCCTAGAGCTAAGGAGGCTGTATTCATAGGCTATCCTAGAGGTGTTAAAGGGTACAAACTGTGGCTGCTAGACGATAAAAAATGTGTTGTGAGTAAGGATGTGGTGTTTAACGAGACTGTTTTTTATAAGACTGACTAATTAATTCCTGAGTTCTCTGAGAAATCAGATGAGCATATTTTTTGTCTTCTATTTGAGGTGGAGACGATGTCAGGTGACAGGGCAAATGAAAACAACAATGATGGTGAAGAACATGGAGCAGGTGGAGCACAACCAGAAATGAACCTGCCAGAACAAGAGCAAAACCAGAATCATCACCATCATGACCATCATGATGCTACTCAAGAATCCGAGCCAAACACTATACTACCACCAGAACAAGTCACCTCCTCTGGTGAGGATCTCACAGTACATGCTATCACGGGATAGAACTCGTCGGCAGATTCATCCTCCTCAGAGATTTGTTCAAGCTGACATCATATCACATACCCTAAATGTTGGGGATACAATTGAGCTTAATGAGCCTGTAAGTTTTGAAGAAGCATGTGGCAGCAGAGACAAGGAACAATGGCTCAAAGCCATGAGAGAAGAGATAGAGTCTCTTCACAAGAATAAAACTTGGATTCTTGTTGACAAACCAAGAGACAAAAGGATCATAGGCTGCAGATGGATTTACAGGAGAAAGCCCGGAATCCCAGGTGTAGAACCTGCTAGATTCAAAGCTCATGTGGTGGCCAAGTGGTATTCTCAAGTTGAAGGTATTGACTATCATGAAGTCTTTTCTCCAGTGGTCAAACACCCATCCATTAGGTTGCTTCTCTCACTGGTTGAAATTCAAGATTTAGAGCTGCAACGACTAGACGTAAAAACTACCTTTTTGCATGGAAATTTGGAAAAGCAGATTTTTATGGAGCAACCTAAGGGGTTTATAAATAAGGGGACTGAGGATAAGGTTTGTTTACTTAAAAGGTCTCTATATGGATTGAAGCAATCCCCGACACAATGGTACATGAGATTTGATGATTTTATGCTTCAAAGGGGTTTCAAGAGATGCAGCTTTGATCATTGTGTGTACTTTAAGGATATCACTGCTCACATGTTCATCTACCTTTTAATTTATGTAGATGACATGTTAATAGCTTGCAACGATCAGAAACAAGTCTAGAAACTCAAAGACACTCTCAAATCCGAGTTTGAGATGAAGGATTTGGGAGATGCCAAGAGGATATTGGGGATGGACATCAACAGGGACAGGAAGAAAGGTGTTTTAACAATTTCACAATCCGGGTATGTAAAGAAGATTGTCAAGTTGTTTGGCATGACAGATGCAAAGATTACCTCAATTCCGGTTCCTGCTCATTTCAAGTTGAGTTCTGTTAAAGGTGAGCTCTCTCAAGAGGAAGCTAATTTTATGAAGAAGATTCCATATTCAAATGTTGTTGGGAGTATGATGTATGCAATGATTGGAACAAGACTAGACATTGCTTATGGAGTGAGCCTTGTTAGTAGGTTCATGAGCAATCCATCTAAAGACCATTGGAATGCAACGGTTGTTTAAATACTTAAAATGATCTTCAGATCTTGGCTTGGTATACACAAATAAGGATCAAGGTGGAGCAGCAATAAATGGCTACTGTGACTCAGACTATGCTGTTGACCTGGATAATAGGAGATCAGTTACAGGTTATATTTTCACACTTGGTGGAAATGTCATCAGCTGGAAGTCAAATCTGCAGCACATCGTGGCACTGTCAACTATGGAGGCTGAGTACGTGGCGTTAACAGAGGCAATCAAGGAAGCCTTGTGGCTGGAAGGTATCACCAAGGAATTAGGAATCAAGGAACATGCTGCATGTGTTCATTGTGACTCTCAGAGTGCAATTCATTTATCCAAGAATAATATGTTTCATGAAAGAAGGAAACATATTGACGTTAGATTGCATTTTGTTAGAGATATTATTTCACAAGGAAAGGTCAAAGTAGACAAGATATCTACTTTGACAAATCCTGCAGACATGTTAACTAAGGCAATTCCATTGAGCAAGTTCAAGCAAGCCTTGGACTTTCTCAACCTTCTGCCAACTTGATTCTCTTTGGTAATTAGGGGTCCTAGTTTTAATCCACTGTCAAATCAGAGTCAAGGTGGAGTTTGTTATAATGTGACTCTATCTTGAAAATGGCTGTTAGTTTTTAATAGGTCAGTTACAAATAGTTAAGACTGCAGCTTAATTGTTTGATAACCGACTTAAGTATTTTAACCACATAGTGGTTAAGCCTAACTCTGATTGGTTATATTAGAAAGTCCTATTTGTATATATATATAGGTGTCCTTAGAAGAAAAAGGCCAGACGGAAGATTATCTACCACACACGTGTATTCTCTCTGGTTTAGACAGAGTTCTTGGGTGAGAGAGAAAACATGAGCTGTGAGGTTTTTTTTTGGGAAAGCTTGGGAGATTCAAAGCTTGTATTTCAGAACCTGAGTGTTTGTAATCTTGTGAGGATCTGAGTGTGTAATTTCTTTCTTCTGTTTATAGTGGATTAAGCTAGGGGAAAACCCCTGCCATGGATTAGGATCTGCAAGGATCTGAACCAAGTAAATCTCCGTGTGTTTTCATCTTTGTTTACTTTCTGTTTTCTTCAATTCTTGTTGTTCGATTGGTCTTCAGAATTCACAGTTCGGTTGTCAGTTCTTTTTAAGAAGTTGAAGTCCTATTTGTATGCTCTCTATGATCTCCAATCATGTATAGGCAAAGGAGGGCGGGAAACAATAAAGATCAACAACAAGCCACCAACATACCGAATTGGAGCAATGACTTGACTCAAGCAAGTAAGCAAGAAGAGAACGAGAAGGGTCAAAATTGTTGCATTACCATAGAACAATCAAGCATTAGTCATACACCACAGCAGATGATAAACAACACGTCATCACTAAAAATAGCCCCGTACATAGGGAAATGTAGCGTCAATCTTATGCTATGTTGACTAATTTTTATTTTTAGCGACGACATATGGTCGTTATAAAGTTTCCAATTTTCACACAGACAAAAAAGCAGACTATTTAATTTTGACAAAAATTTCATTGTTTTTAGCGATGACAATTGTCGCTAAAGATAATTTCAGGCGGCAAATTAAACTTTTGGACTAAACTTTGCTTGGCTAAAAATTTTCTCTTGACACAATAAATCTTTAATGACGTGGCAAACCTTCAACTGCGACTTTGTGATTTGTAGCAATGATGTTTGTCATTACTAACACTATGTTTGGTATGATGGAAAAGTGAAAGGAAGGAAGTGAGTGGAAGGATTATTAGATGGAAAATAATAGAGTTAGTTGTTTGGTAAGAAGGAAAATAGGATGGAAAAAAATTATAGTGGGGCTCACCATTTTTTATCTCTCTAATATTATGAGGAAAGCTCAAATCCACCAATTGATGGTTAAATTTACTCTTATGTCCCTATTTTAAAATCTAAATTAATATTAAACAATTGATAAAATAGTCATTTAGGCTATTACATGTTTTATTTCCTCTCATTATACTAAACACTATAAAGAAAAATCAGCTTCATTCATTTCCTTTACATTTTCTTTCTTTTATGTGTTTTTTTTTTCTATTCTCTGTTCTTTCCCTCCTACTAAACAGAGTGTAAAGGTTTTGCGTATAAACCTAACGCCCAAATTAATGCTATTATGCCTGTTTATAAATCCTCACAAATTAGGATTGGAGTCTTAATCAAACACGACTTCTCCAATATTTTGATTTGCTTTAATTATCAAGTGAGTCAATAAAATATTTTGATTTGCTTTAATCTAGTGAGTCTTAAGACGCCTTCTCCAATATTTTGATTAAGACTCGAATCCTAATTCAAGAGGAATTATAAACACGTATAATAGCATTAATCTTAAATGATAGAATCCTAGTCTGATTCATATATAAACTTCATCGATCATCAACTTCTCAACAAAACTAGAAACCCTCCAAACCTTAATCCCCAAAAAAAAAAAAATTAAAAGCTTCTCAACAAAACTAGAAACCCTCCAAACCTTAATCCCAAAAAAAAAAAAAAAATTTAAAAGCTCTTCAACACATCATGTCTTCGTCTTCTTCTTCTTCTTCTTCTTCTTCTTCTTCTTCTGCTTTAACAACTCAAAGACTTCTAACTCTTAAGATATCAACCGGCGAGATCTTCACCATCGATGCCGCAGCAGCTGCAGCCAGGTTTTTGTCCTTCAAGAACATGGTTGAGGACTGCTCCACCGACACCGTCATCCCGGTGCCGAACGTGGACGGTGAAATCCTCGCCATGGTGCTCAAGTGGTGTGAGAAGCACAGCGAGGAGGGCGACAAGAAGGAGCTGAAGAAGTGGGATGCCGATTTCGTCAGGGACTTGGACCAGGCGGTTCTCTACAAACTCCTCATGGCGGCGGACTATCTCGGTGGGCTCGAGTTGATCGATCTCTTGACGCAGAAGGTGGCCGACATGATCAACGGCAAGAAGGCCGAGCAGATCCGCCGGACATTTAACATTCAGAATGATTTCACGCCCGAGGAAGAGGAAGCCATACGTAAAAAGAATGCATGGGCATTTTATTAGCTTTTGGTCTCGTAGTACTTTTTTTTTTTTTTTTGGGTCTCGTGGTACTTGTTTTTTGTTACAAGACACTCATGACAGGAAATTAGTAGAATTTAGATGCGTGATGTGATTTTATTATTCTTATAGCTTTTTTTGATGTAGAATTTTCTTTTATAGTTTAGCCTTTAATTTATTAATTATCTTTTCATTATATATATATTACTCCATTAATATATTAAATTAATCCTCTTTCTTTTTTTTTTCTCTGACCATTTATATGTACTCCTTGTTTAGGAGGTATTGGTTTTTATTACGATTTGGTGATAATCATTATTATCACGAATCGCTTATATATGTGGTCTTATTATCGACCTATATGAAAGCCCTGGAGATCATAGATAAACCAGCAACAACACAGTCAACACTATCATATCGTATAATTTTATGCAAAATTATAATAAGCAATTACTGTAGGAATTTTTTATACTATACAGAAGTAGCAAGTATTTTTAAAGCACTAATGATGTGAATTAGCTGTTATAGATATTTCATGATCAGCGAATGTTATTAAAGTTTATTAACTATAAAAATTATATATTTTTCAGTACTAAGTAAAATTTACAGATACGTACTTATCACACAAATTTATGGAAGACGTTAGCATGAGTTAGTACACTATCTTCCCGTTCACTTCACTAACTCCAATTTTATAATTTGAGTAAAAAAAGTGAACTTGAATTATTTTTAATTGGAGTTGTAATGTGAAATTTGAGTTGCATGTTTAGTAAGAGATTGATGTGACATTTATAACTTGAGTTTTGTGTTCACTTGCACAAATCTAAACTCACCACTTACATAATATTGCATTGGATTTATATTGATTTTCTGTATCTACATAAGCCATTAATAGTCTTGCAAGCCATAAGACTCAAATTAAGTACAGAATAAATTCATCAGCATTACACAACTTCACAATAAACATGAGCGAGCTGTACGGCAGAGGTGAGCAAAAAACAACATCAAACCTGGAGAGAAAATGAGTAGGACGCAATGAACAAATGATGGCAGTGTAATCATCCACGCCTATGTATAGCTAATATATATATATATATATAACAATCTGGGGGCCAATTATAAAGCCATTAAAACAAATACATAAAAACTTACCTTTCACCGCCGGTTGTTTTCATATGTAGCCCACATACTATCAGCAATTTCATCCCTCAATACATGCATTTGTCGTCTGTTAGAACGGTTTTACTGTTGTTGCGATCCTCGATCAGGGTTGTGATTCTGATTCACATCATGTTCCGTGTTAAGTGGATCAATTTCTGCTACCAGAACGGCGTCTCTCATGTATTGGGTAAGTAGATCATCGTTGTGGTTGTACATGTGTATGAAGTTATGTAAAATAGCACAAACAAATGGAATATCTATTTGTGTATGTATCGGGTAGTTATTAATGCACTTAAGAATACGAAACCTGGCTTTCCAGACGCCGAATGTGCGTTCGATACAGTTTCTGAGTGAAGAATGTAGTTAAATGACTCCCTCGGCGTTTGGGGCCGACCCCGCCTTGCCCGATACTCTTGAAGGTGGTAAGTGCTCCCCCGGTACGGTGCCAGGAAACAATCAGTGTTTGCGTACCCAGAGTCGACGAGGTAATATTTACCTGTTGTAACGGTTAAAAGATATAACTTGAATGTATTAGTTCCACATGGAAGCACAAACGTGTAGTTTTCAAAACTGAATGGAAGATCAAGCGTACACATACCTTCTGGTGGAGTAGGGAAATTTTTTTCCCTCGTTTCTGTTGCGGATGCAAGCACACGTGCGTCATGGGCAGAGCCCTCCCATCCAGCTAACATGTAGGTGAACCTCATGTCGAACGAACACACTCCTAATACATTCTGAGAGAAGAATCCCTTCTTATTTCTCCATGCCTTAGCATTTGCAGCGGGTGGAACAACCGGTACATGAGTACCATCAAGAGCGCCAATACAATTCTACGTAATAAGTAATTACCATAAGCAACAACGCATACCAACACATTTATCTTATAGAGTAATAAGTGAAGGGAAAGTACCTGAAACCATGGCATATACTTGTTTCCACGCGCGGCTACGACGGGATCGACAATGTTAAAGTTTGGCGGTGTAAGAAAGTCAAAACGGAGCTCATACAACGCCTTCAAAACAGCGTGAAAATACTTTGAAATGGTAGCATCAGAATGCTGCCATTGATCTTGTGACTCCCTGTTGTTTGAACTTTGACAAATAATGTATAGGAAAATAAAAAGTTGCTCGTGCACATTCATGTTCCTAGTCGGTCTTAAAAGCCCTTTAAGCTCAAGCAACGTACTAAGACGCTTGAAATAATCACTTCCCATGCTAATCTTCGACCTAAGAACGTCCTCATGTCCATCAAGTAGGTATTGAACACACGTTATACCTGTGAGGGCAGAGGTATGCCTTGGTTGAGGCAATGGTCTTTCCATGTATGTGTAGTAATACCACAAAACTACTGCTACTGCCGCAATCTCATAATCGTCATCTGAGTCGTCACTACCATCGTTTTGAGGAACGTGGTTTGAGGGACCTGCTTTCCACATTGCTACCTGCGAGACATGCATAATGAAAGAATAATAGAAGAATATATATGAAATGATCATCTCATCCGCAAGTAAATGTGACTACAAATGCCACATCAATAAATACTGTTGCTCGCAATACAACTCAATATCCATAGACAATACAACATCAGCATGGCCGTAGTAAACATAAATAAACATAAATAAACAACGTCTACTCAAATACTATGTTAAAATCTAAAAATGACAAATGATGTTCAATTGTACGAATACAGACAATGGTGAAAACAGTATTCGTTCAAACTCAAAGCTGGTCCGGGCTGCCGTCGCCACCATAGTGTCCCGGTTGTGGCGGAAAGTGAGGCATGTAGTATGGTGTTTGGGGATTATACGCAGCCGGTTGTTGGGGATTGTAGGTTTGGGGATTTGTAGGAAATGGTTGGGCTGGTTGTTGTCCCCGAAAGTTTGGGGGACGTGGCATATTGTTGGTAGGTTGTTGGCCAAAAAAGCCCGCCGGTTGCATATAGTTGGTGGGTTGTGACATGAGGTTGTGAAATGGTGGCGGCATAAACTGTGTCCCCGTAGAGGCATGGGGGTTTGAGAAAGGTCCATGTGCTTGAGTCCGTGACGTACTGATTGTTCTTGTCACAAAGAGGTTATGCTGACTACCACTCATTCCCACAAACAGCTTCTACATATGTGGGTACCAAGCAATGGCCTCCAAAAACATGATTGCGGTTTCATCGTCAAGCGCCATTTCCCTGACTATGCTCTGGCATTGGTCCTGCAGATCAACAATAGGCGCAGCCTGATTCGCACTAGAGCTTTTAGTGCGATTACTATGCTTGCTTTCTATAGAAGAGACAAGCCGGCCAATTAAATCCCTCGCTACAGGATCACATATTACCTTACGTGAGGACTTGCCTGGTTTCTTGCCGATCGCTTTGGAGGACGACGCAATGTTGAGACCTCTAGCTGCATTGTTCAAACCGGCCCGCATGGATACGATGAAACCATCTTCGCTGCCACCCTCATCAGATGTCGCCCCTTCTTCGTCGGAGACGTGTACTGGACCCTCCTCAATGTTTGTTAGATTATCCAATCCCTTCTCAAGTGCCCCTGTTGCCCTCGTACCAGCAAAGGCCTCATAGTATAACTCCCAGTTTTTAAGAGGCTAATTCTTTGCCGATTTTGCCCATTTCTTATTCTGCATATGAATAAGCAAAGGAAATGACCTTCACAAAATGTTGCAAGAATTGAATATCCATAGAACAATTGTTTAGACATTTTACCTTGGCAAAATCTTCCCAATATTCATCAGTGCAAGTCACAGCACCAGTAACAGGGTCCCAGCCAAGGCCTGTGTTGTTGCGTAATGTAAGCTCATGGTCAAACTTAGCCTTGAGACAAACTTTCATCTGCTGCACTTTCACAGGAGTGACTTGATCCTTAAAGAACTGTTGAAGTTGTTGCGTCCAATCCTCCCATGTTTTCGAATCAGGCTTCCGGCCATTGCCAGTACGATTGCATTCAGCGAGCCGCATAAGCAACTCCTCTTTCTGCTTTTTAGTCCAGTGTAGAGTGGCTTCATCGTCGGCTTTCCCTCTCGGCATCTAAAAAAGCAAAGAAAGCAGCGTAACAACGCACAAGAGGAACGTCTGTACGCGTGAGTCAGATATTTGTGTCAACCTAAAAATGAGACATTGTTATAAATGGCTCAACTCCTCTTTCGGAACATCACTGCCATTAACCATTCCTATTACCTGGTTTTTACACGTTACAAGTGAGGGAATGTTATAACTGGCTCAGAAATTTTATAGCTAATTAATCGCAATAACACTTGGAGCATCATCCTTATAAGCAGGAGCGACGTAGCTGCCATGCTTCAGAGGCCTTCAATACATTCCAATGAAGCGGTAACTAAAGTGTCACATTGCCTATAGGACGTCGCTACGACGAGTGTTCTAATTTTAGACTAATTTCATCATAGCCAACATTACCTGTTTGTAAAGTGGTCATGTACGATACGAGCAGAGGGGAGGCAATACACCAACAGGAGAGGCAATACATCCACAGTGGATGCTATAGGCTAAGGTAAAAACGGCAACAGCAGAACCATACCACAATAGGAGATGCCATAAGCTAAGGTAAAAACGGCAGCAGCAGAAACCATAACAACAATATGAGAGGCCATAGGCTAAGGTAAAAACGGCAACAACAGAACCATACCACAATATGAGAGGCCACAAGGTAAGGTAAAAACAGCAACAGCAGAGCTAATACCACAACAGGAGAGGCCATAAGGTAAGGTTAAAACGGCAACAACGGAAACCATAACAACAATAGGAGAGGCCATAGGCTAAGGTAAAAACGGCAACAGCAGAACCATACAACAATAGGAGGGGCCATAAGCTAAGGTATATAGGGCAACAGGGGAGCCAATACAACAACAAGGGATGCAATAGGCTCAGGTAAAAATGACAACAAATTAGCCAATACAACAACAAGGGATGCAATAAGCTCAGGTAAAAAACGGCAATAGGACAGCAAGTACGACAACACTGGTAGGCAGCTAGGTAAGGTATAAACGACAACAGGCGACTACATACGGCAACATGGGATGCAATAGAAACACGTACAAACGACAACAGTGGATGCAAAAATGACAACAAATATAACAGCAGAGCCAGCATACGACAACAGCGGTATCAGTAGACATTGGCATGACAATACAAACGACAACCAGTACAACTCAGTACAAACATCACAATGCGAACGACAACCAATAGCCAAGCATCAAACCAGTCAGAACGAAGAAGAAGTACAGTGCAACCACGACAAATCCATAGAAAATAATGGTATATAGAGCTTAGGAGAAATGAAAGATCATACCCGGTTGGAACCAGTTGAGGACAAAGGCTTATCGTTTATCACAACCCCTAAACGCGATCGTGAGGCACTTCGTACGACGGATTGACACCGGAACCGCCGACGGTAACGTCGTAAAGGAAGATAACCAGTGGATGCGAGATGGGGCCGTTTGGCTCTACATCGACGCAATAAAACGGCCAACGGAGTTTGCCGGTTGCCTTGAGACGGATGAATGGTATCCGTGATGAAGATTCAAGGACAGGGGCAGGGAACACTTCTAGGGTTGGGCATGCAACAAGGAATCGAAGCAAAAATGGTGGAAATAGGGGAGAGGTTACCTTTTTTCGATGCGGATCGACACAAAAAGCAACCGATTCGAGCAACCGACCCCGCCTGGAGAGAATCATTTTTCACTCCAAAATCTGCAGGAAATCGCTTTGTTCAGAGTGAAATCAGAGGAGGAAGGCAGGAACGAGGGTCCAACGGGCAGAAAGCAGAGAGAAATCTGCACTGGGGAGGCAGGAACGAGGCAGCAACGGGAAGAAAGCAGAAGCATCTGCACTGTTCAAGCACATGGAAACACTGTAGATAGTAACTGCAGTAATGGGAAAATAACCGGTATGCCAAACTCTGAAATCAGAGTTATTACTCGAGTTTTGTTTAATGAACGCAAAACTCAGCCCAAAATTCAACTCGAATTGGGCTTATTCGAGTGGGATACATGAAGTGAACGGCCTTTATATTACAGTCACTTTTGCAAGTTGTGCGTGATGAATTTGTAACGTAACTAACTGATGAAAATTAGACACTTTGGGCCCGTTCGATCGGTTCGCTAATTCAAGTTTTTAATTTGAGTTAAGATGTGATGTTGTGTGAGAATTTTTTATTGTAGCAAAAAGTTAGATGTGACTGTTTCTGAGAGCTTTTTACTGTAGCAAAACTCGAATCAGCGAAAAGAACGGGGCATTTATTTATTCGGTTGTATTTTTGAGCTATAGTGATTTGAATGCAGATTTTGAATTGAATTTGAGTTATAACTTGAGTTGAAGTTGTAACTTGAATTTGTGTTTAGATGTGCACATTTGAATAATGGTATGAATTGAGAATCTATTTGAGTTTGTGTTTGGGTGGGTCAAATCTTGAATTTATATTTAGATAATATTTTAATAAAAACTCAGTGGTGATAGAAAATTTTAATAGGGTATATGGGTGGGGTTTTATTCGTCTTTTCGTTATGAGCGCATAGAAAAAAATCATCTCAATCAGAATTAAAACAAAAAGTTACGCCATTTTTAAGAATATAAAAAATATTGTTTATTAACTTGAGTTTGAGTTTATGAACTTGAGTTGAATGGGAAACTTGAACTCAGATTTTAGCCCCAACTCAAGTAAAACTCAAGTTCAAACTCAAATTTTACAAAAGAACATGACTTGAATAAAATTGTAACTTGAGTTCAATTTTTTTTTTAGTTTTAGTCCAAAAGAACAAGAGTTTTCGGGCTTATTCTTTTAGAGTTTAACTTGATCAGTATAATTCTTGAGTTGAATTTGAGTTATAACTTGAGTTGAACTTGTAACTTGAGTTTGTGTTTGGTTGTATACATTTGAGTTATGGTTTGAGATAAGAATCTTTTTGAGTTTGTGTTTGAGTGAGTCAAAATTTGAATTTGTATTTAGATAGTATTTTAATAAAAACTCAATGCTGATGAAAATTTTTTATATGGTATATGGGTCGGGTTTTATTCGTCTTTTCGTTGTCAACGCATAAAAAAAAATCATCTAAATCATAATTAAAACGAAAAAGTTATATCATTTTTAAGAATAGAAAAAATATTGTTCATTAATTTGAGTTCGAGTTTCTGAACTCGAGTTGGATGGGAAACTTAAACTCGAGTTTTAGTCCTAAACTCAAGTTTAAACTTAAAAGAACATGAACTCGAATAAAGTTGTAACTCGAGTTATATTTTTTTTAAGTTTTTCACTCAAAAGAACAAGCTTATAGTCTCTTAGATCCATGATCATTGCTAGTTAACTATACTTTGTTATTTAGAAGGATACATAGATACAGATATATATATATATATACACATATATTTTTATTATTATTAATCTTTTTAGAGAGAGTGCATAATAAGGATTTTCATTTATTAACCTGCCAAATTTGGATCATAAGGTCAGATAGGAATCTACCCGTGCTTGATATACGTATGAACATTATTGCTTTTTGGGTTTCGTTCTTTTTTTTTCCCAGCTAAAATTTGGGTTTTGATTGATAAGAGCAAAGGAATCTACACGTTCAGATAGTTTTAGTTTTATTTTTTTATTTATTTATTTTTTGCTACCTTCATCTAAGTTTGAATGTTGGGCTTAGACCCAAAGGCCGAAACTAGTTTTGAAACCCAGGCGCCATTGTGGTCTCTCTTTGGGCTGTGGCATCTAAAGGCGAAAATGAATATGACAAGAAAGCTTGAAAAAAAAAAAAAGAAAAAAAAGAATATCATAGCCATAGACTACAAATTACTGACAAACAACACCAATGATTCTAGATGACATAGACGAAACAAGGTCATTTTCCGTTTTCAAAACAACTCTAAAACGTGAAACAAAATCAAATTCTCAATAAAAGAAGTAAATAATAATGTACGTGTCTATATATCCCTAGTTTTAGTTATCTATTTATTTTTATTTATTTTTTTGCATATGTTGCTGTGTTCAGCACTAGAAAGGACAAATCATAAACTGCATCTATTGCAAGGACATAGACGAATAGGTATAAAATCAATCTCTCAATAATATGCATGTTCAGTTTCAACAAAACTATCCAATTTGTACATAATCAATATTCTGATAATACGATCTGCATATATATAATATGAAAAAGACGTATATATGAAGTTGCATATATGCGCTGCTTTATGTTTCTTCTTGGAGGCTGGATCAGAAGATGTCCAATACAGACACAATGACGGCAGTACTATTCATACTGCCAAAGTGATCCTTGGGCTTGCAGGATTTCAGTTTAAGCCAGTTCTTATTCTGATAGCATTTGACTATCTTCTTGCATATCACCCTCTCTGGCCAAACTCTTGTTACATTTGGCAGTGGAATTAAACACTTTTCCATTTTTGTGATCCTGCAAGGTTGCATTTTTTTGAGTTTTTCACTCAAAAGAACAAGCCCTTCATCTTAAAATATTGACCTGTTAAATAAGGTGGTACAATCATGTCCTTATAAGTTGTGTGTATTGTTGTATTTAAATGATATGGAACTCGAATTTATTTTTTACACGAACAAATAAATAAAAGAGTTAAATGTCCTATGTAGTTTGGATTATAGAAGCGAAGGTCCAAAAATCAAACATTTTTGTTTTTGTTTGGAGAGAATTACATGTTTTACCCCATAATCACCAAACGTCCTAATTTTACCTTTTAAAAAAAAAAAACTCTATCTCTTTTATTTATATGAGATATTTTCATCACAATTTGAAAAGATTAAAATACTCATAGATTATAGATCATAACCTGATAAATCATATTATGACTGACCCCGGTGACCGGAAGTCGGCAGCTGGTGTAATCTGTCAGGTTTTAGATTATAACCTGTTAGGTTATGACAGGAGACCCGCCGGTGGCCGGTGTAAGCTGTCAGGTTATAGCCGGAGACCCGCCGATAGCCGGTGTAATCTGTCAGGTTATGGATTATAATCTGTCAGGTTATTGTAAAAAATCAGAAATGATTATTTTTATAAAGAACCTCCCGATAATCACCTCCTAAATCATAGACTGTTTTTAAAAGCGACCCTGATTGCTCAAAATTTTTCAAACATACCCAATTTATAAAAAATAACTCATAATGCCCTTTATGTTCACATGCGTTCATAATCCTAACAGATTTATTAATGCAGCATGCCATTAAAGGTTAACTAATGATATTAAATTTTCATCGATCTAAAATTTCAATTACAAAAAAAAAAAAGAAAAGAAGGGCTATATACCCAATCCTTAATTAAGAGTTTAAAATTAAATATTAAATAGTGAAATGACATAAACACTCCAATTAATTTCAACCCAATCTCAACCCTAATTGGTTTAGGTAAGACTTAAAAGAAAGAAAGCATAGGAAGAGTAGCCCTCATCCTCCATTAGCACTGCCCTTATTCTCCACCCAAACCTTCTCGCCACCGTTTTTGTGAGTGTTCCACCACCTGAGACCACTCGAGACCACCGGACCTTTTTGCCTCTTCCTAAGAGCCTTATTGCAAATCTTGATGCAAGGAGGAGGGTGGCGCTTGGCCTTGCAAACTAACAATTGTGTAGGGATGAAAGGGAGGGGGGAATCACGTCATTCGGTTCCTAATAAGGAAGTTCGGTTAGACGGTGGATCAATGCTTGCAAAGCCGAATGTATTAGGGAACACAACACACTAATAAAAAGTTAATTTTATAAGCCTTACACATGGGGTCTATTTTTTTTTTATTAATTATGATGCACATAGCCGAAAGTGCTCCTAAATTTTTTCTATTAAAAACAACAATCTCGTTTAATTGTTCTCTGTATATTGCTTTTTTCGTTTTCTATATATAAAAAATTACTCTAGAACACCATAAATACTGAACATCACAATTAATAACAAAAATGTACCCAATTTATGGGGTGTCCTATATTGGTGAATTGCTTTTTTTTTGGGGTTGCTATTGGTAAATTGAAACTCTGTTTAATTTATTAATTTAAATTTTTAATTTAGATTAAGATGTAATTTTATATAAAATTTTTTTATTATAATAAAAAAAATTAAATATAATTATTTTTAAAAAAAATTTACTGTAATAAAATTTAAATCAGAATCTAGTTTTTATTAGTGGGCAATGGGCATTTTTGACACTAGCATTTAGCGCCTTTATTTTATTATTTACATTTTTGTTTAATTCCATCCGTGCTGTATCTGCAACGCAATTGGAGTGTCGTCTGGCACATTCCACGGCCATGTCTTAGAGCTTCAAAGATCCCGAATTTTCCCATTCACCAAACAAACAGTTCTTAGAGCCTCAAAAAGTGCTGGGCTCTTCTTCACTCCTTCGGTTCTGGTACAGATTCTTCCTAAATCATTGCTCAAATTTTCAATTTTCCTCTTTTTACGTTGTTTGTGCTGTGCAATTACTGCAGTTCATTTTATCAAAAATTATTCGCACACTTTTATCTGATTTTTGAATCTAGCTGGGCTTTTGGAAGATTTTGCCTTGTGGGTATCTCATGAAAATTACATATGATGATCTTAAAGGCGTCGCAGAGTGAATTTTGCATCAGGGTTTGGGCAATATTTCTTTTTTGGTATATCTACATAATATATATATATATATATATATATTATATAATATATGTATGTAAGTTATGGGTTAATTTATCTTTTCTGATCATGTTCCAACATAAACATTTTTATGTCTGTCATAGCCATACATGGCGTTGTATTCTCCCTTTTACCAACATTTTTTGTTGTTTGAAAGGTTTGCCAATATTTTCCAGTCTCCAGAATGTTTAATTATCAATTTATTCTATTTCCTGAATGTTTAATTATCAATTTATTTCTATTTCCTGAATGTTTAATTATCAATTTATTCTATTTTTTCCTTTTTTTGTAATTAATTTTAGTGGAATTGGAAAGATCTGATTTTGCCCGTGCTTTTTAGTGATTTTGAGTCACTCTCCGCTTTCCAATTGTTTGCACTGATAGTTAAGCCAAAATAACAGCCATATCACATCTGTTTAAGATTGATTGACAGCACATTGTTACTGATTTATGGGATGTCATTGCTCGTCACCCGGCTTCTATTTATCTTGATGAGATCCAAGCAGGTTCAAGCTCTTTAAGGGCATATCTACCTAAGCAAATACGATTATCTTGATAAGATATTTCTGTCATTGTACCTCTATGGTGTTTACAGAATTGGCTTTGTTTGGGGTTATGCTTGATGGTTAGTTATTACTTCCATCTCTACTACAGAACTGCAGATGAGATTTTCTTCTCATCCAGTTTCTCTAATCTTCCCTTTCGAAGTTCTATTCCTGTGGGGGTTTTCATTCTTGTAAGAGAAACATCATTTCAAGGCTTAGGAATAGCGTCCGTAATTTAGGTATGGAGAAGTGGGGCGGGCTGATAAAACTGAACATGTATCGGGATCGGTCAGTGACTAAGGGTTGGGCAGTGTTGGTTGTGATCAACTCCAATCTCCATCAGGAAACCGACTACTGTTGAGAAACCTATATACAGGACGATTAAAGGACGCTTTCTGTTTCATATCGAGTCCTCAAAGGTGCTGTAAAGCTGTGTTATTGGACAATCTTTGATCATTTGGCCAAAGTATGCCTATCATATGTGCCATGTATAGACTGGTTATATGAAAGTTATCATGGCACGGCATGGCTTGAATTGTGTTTCTGCTTTTCGATTAGCCATGTTTTTTTCCAATCATTTGTGATATGAATGCTTGATTTGATTTTTCTGGTTCCTGAAGTGTCTGCATCACACACACTTGTTCTAATCACACAACTTGTTTCAGGTTTCCCCACTTTATGAAGTGAGGCAATCCCTGATGGCAGACTTACCGCACTATGTCGTGGCCTGTTTGCATACTGGGAAACTTGCTGCTTTGGCAATTTTAGTCTCTGGGGGGATCGTTTTGCAAATTTTGGTTGGTAGTACTGTTTCTTTGATCAGTAGTACAGTTGATTATTTTCACCACAAGGTTAGTTACAAGGTCGTTTGATTCTCACGTACCATGTTTATTGGCAGGCATGTGCTTTGTACAATAATTGGTGGCCAATGTTGACTGGTAAGTAACTAACCCAATAACCTTATGTAAAATGTTTGGTTCATGAAAATTTGATCAAGCGCAGAAGCTTGTATTCTGATTTTTACATTTCTGATATATCCTTTGGTGACTGATTGACTTTGAAATTTGACAAATATGCAATGCCTGTTGAGTAATCGAGGTTTCAAATTCGCGACCATATTGTTTAAGTATGTTTCAGAGGGTTTCAACTTCCACGTGCTATATGCTTTACCTCCAAATGGTTAATGTGAGGCTCCTTCCAAATATATAAAACTAGAGAACTTTTTTCTGAGAAACGTGCTGTTTGGTAGACCGCGGAACAAAATATTCAAATTTTGAGCGATTAACAAAATTTATGGTCGTTGCTTAACAATTTTTTTTTTTCTTGTTTTAAGAAAATTATTCTTGAACTTGTGGCTAGCATGTGAGGGTTGGTGGTTGTATGTAATTATCAAGAGGTTTAGGAACGTTAAGAAAACACATGAAGTCAGAGCAATATTTTCTAAGGGAAGCATGATGTGAAACGCTGCCCTTTATCGGAAGTAAGTCGGAAAAAAGCACCAAGAGAATGTTGAAGGATTTTTACATTCGTCCTTTTTCTTGTCAATGGCATCAAATTAGTATGTGATTATGAGATGCTTCTTTCTGATGAATCATGTTATCCGTTTCTTTTCTCCATTTTGCAGTTATAATGTATGTGCTTCTGCCGATGCCGTTACTATTCTTTGCGGGGTCTGATGGCTCTGCTCTATTTTCTGAATCTGATAATAGGTTGGCCTTCCTTCTTTGAAAACTATTCTATTTAGGATAGATCAAAACATCTTTCAACTAACTCTAGGTCGAAAAATCGTCCAACTAACTCACTTCCTAACGTATTATGATCAGCTGGGTGAACGCGACTAAGTTCTTGACCGGTGCTTCAGCTGTTGGGAGTATTGCCATACCAGCTATCTTAAAGCATGCTGGCGTGATCGGTTGGGGCGCTCTCGCAATGGAGCTCTCATCATTTTTCGTATTTGTACTTGCCATAATGTGTTTCATTGGCATGACTGATGAAGATAATTATTACAGTGTGATCTGATATGGTGTGACCCTTCATTGGGCTGCTTCATTTGTGTAAAATGGTGTTGGATTATTACAGTGTGATCTGATATGGTGTGACCCTTCATTGGGCTGCTTCATTTGTGTAAAATGGTGTTGGTTCTGCACGTGTGGCTCTTTCGATTCTTTGTTTCTGTGAGTGTTATCTCCAATACGTGATTGTTATTAAGATTGTGAAATCACCCTTTTTCTTTATTTGTTGGTTAAATATTTTTCTTACTGCTTTTGATATATAGGTGATAAAGAACTGGATTAGGATATTAGGAATTTGAATTCAATAGCTATCAATTATGAACAACATTTTTATCCATTGCGTCCCCTGGGACTTGAACCCAGAACTCAATACATTAAAAGCAACTCATGCACCCACTAAACACAAATCCACCTAGCCTTATCCATTCAGATATGTTTTATTTCTATTTAATTTTGAATTTAGTTTCTTGTTTGTCTCTTAGGATTATTTATTATTACTTAGTAATCTTTTTGCTAAAACAAGAAGGGGCTACGTACTAGATTAACCCTTTTTTTCTTTTTCCTTTTTTCCCTTCCAAAGCCCTATTAGCTAAGTCGTCGTTAAAATCAAGCCAAATATAACCAAACATAAATCAAGAAATGTACTCTCACACTAGCATTTCAATCTTTATTCATTTTTGACAAAACACTTCATTAAGCAAGAGATCAAAACAACTTAGCCGAAAACCAAACGAAAAATAACTTGTTCACCCTCCAGGATTATTCAAGCTTGTATAATACACACACACACACACAGTGGGAAAATACAAACTCAACGATACTTGATTTTTTTTTTTTTTTTTTTTTTTTAAAAAAAAGCAAGAAACTTGAAATTTTAGAACTGCTTAGGGATTTCTTTTATACCATACTAAAGAATTCTTACAACAAACTTAAGGGAAATGTTTTGTCGTTTTATTTCATGTTTATAAATCAAACCTTATGATCTATGTGCTTTAGTCATTTTCACAAATAACCAAAAAGATGAAACTTTAAAATGTAAAACTTACAGACTATCTCACTTAGGTTTAAGAATTTCAAATTTTATCTCCACACTTCAAATCTTGCGGGCTCCTTGTAAAATTATCGATGTCGTAGAAATACATAACATTAGTATTGAGATTCTTTTTTATATCACAACTAAATAATGGGCACCTATTAGATCGCTATTTTACGCCAAGTCTTCTAATATCATTGAAAAGGAAAGCAAATTACAAGATCCAAAGAGAAAAACCCTTCAAAAAAAAAAAAAGCCAAGACACACTAAAAAGCCGGTAAATTACATTTCTATCCCCCCACCAAAAAAAAAAAAAACTGAGGAAAGTTGGAAGTGCTTTTCTAAATAATTTCATTACTATATGATTCACTCACTTTAGAAGCCATTCCACATCTTAGTAATTATCCTATACCACCAATGGGGTGGTAAAAATGTTTTTTTTTTTTTTTTTTTTTTTTTTTTTTTCTTTTTTTTTTAATTTTTTTGACAGTTCTAATAAAGATGACTTTGTCTGGTCAATAATTTATTTAAATGTTTCGACCTACGATGATTTGCGTGAAATTTTAAATTTGGTTCATACGTCAAGTAGAATTCAATTAGATTTAGACCCTTCTCCTTCCGTGCTTTAAGAGTTTTTCTTTTAGACGATGGAGATGAAAGAGGGATAACACCAATGATCTTTTTTAGTTCATCAAATAAAAATTATGCTTCATGCATAAAACTTGTATACAGGCTTAGCTATGTTTAAGGTGTCAACTTCATATATTTTTTCTTCCTAACTTTGCAATTTAAAAGAGCAGAAACATGTAAATTTGATGATTTTTTTTTTTTTTTTTTGGGTGAATGATGATTATACTGATTTACTATACAATGTGAGAGCGGGAAACCTAGAATTTCTGTGAAAGAAAGAGCTACATTAATTTATATACTCTTCTGTTCTGCAATGTCTTGTAGTAATTTTTTTAAATAATATATACTTAATTAAAAAAATCAGCAAATTTTCGTGAAACTTTACTGTAGAACCTATCCTTTTTAACTACCATTAAATAAGAATGGTTATATTAAGTTTTTAATGGTATGATTTGTAATTGGAGTAATTATGTGTCAAATGGACATTTATATAACTGTTACAAATCTAGGTAGCTACACAAACGAAGCAAAATTATTAAATTATCCTCCTTTTCTTGGTAGATTTTCAGAAAAGGAGAATTTGTTAAGACTAGTTCCAAGTATAAACCTGACATAATTTAGTCTAAATTAGTTGAATTTCACGTGCTTTTGTATGTAGAAAGTAATTTGTGTGTTAAATTGTATTTCACTAATTGTTATGTTATTATTAAAAACATAAAAAATATGAATATAAAATCTCAATGAGGAACCAAAATAAAAAAAAAATAAGTTTTAGGGAAAAAATAAAAAAAATTGTCAAAATAGACAAAAATGAAGAAATAACTAAATTTTAGAGTAAAAGGAACCAAAACAAAAAAATTATAAAATTTTAGGAAAATAAAAAAAAGAGAGTAAAAAAGGTCAAAATGGAGAAATAAATAAGTTTTAAGGCAAAATGAGCCAAAATGGAAAAAAAAAAAAAAAATAAAGTTTCAGGTAAAAAATAAAAAAAGAGGTCAAAAAAGGACTAAAATGAAAAAATAAATAAGTTTTAGGGCAAAAGGAACAAAGAAAGGGAAAAATTTCAGGACAAAAAGTAAAAATAAAAATAAAATAGGACTAAAATGAAAAAATAAATAAGTTTTAGGGTAAAAAAAAGTTGTATGGTAAGAAGCAAAGAAATATTGTCAATAAAAAACTAAAAGGGAAAAATGAATAAATCTTAAGGCAAAAGGAACTAAAAATGAAAATGAAAATAAAATTTTAGGACAAAAAGAAACGAAAATAAAAAGTTAAAAGGACTGAAATAAAAAAATACAAATAAGTTTTAGGATGAAAAGTAAAATCAACCTAAAAAAAGACTTAAAAAAAAGTGAGAAAGTTGTACACTTTCAACCAAAACTACATCGTTTTGGTTAAAATTGCACTATTCAAAGTACACTTTCTCACTTCAATTAACACTAAATGAGTAATAAATAAAAAAGAAGAGGTTTAAAAAGGAAAGAAAAAGGTTAACAAAGCTTTTCCGAGAAGTTTTCTAAGGCATTTTATATATAACAGGAAAATGACCAAAACGTCCAAACAAAAAACAAATGATGGAATAAGAATCTTAGGGCAAAACAGTAAAAGCAAAAGTGATGGGACACAGACAGAATTTTTCAAAAGTTGAGGGACAAAAAAAAACCGGAAGCTAAGGGCAAAACGGTAAAAGTAAAAGTGGGAGGACACAGAGATAATTTTTTGAAAGTTGAGGGACAAAAAAGACTAGAATCTTAGGGCAAAACAGTAAAAGCAAAAGTGATGGGACACAGACAGAATTTTTCAAAAGTTGAGGGACAAAAAAAAAACCGGAAGCTAAGGGCAAAACGGTAAAAGTAAAAGCGAAAGGACACATACGGAATTTTTGAAAAACTGAGGGACAAAAAGGAGCTCACACTGTTTTTTGAACAATAAAAGCACGACCTCCTATAGTATATAGTAGAATATTAATAAAAACATTTTTACTCAAAAAAAAAAAGTAAAAACATTTGGATAAAAAAGTAATTGCACAATAATAATTTTGAGGCACTTCTAATTCTAATTAAGAGAAGGTTGCTCTAAAAAACAAATACTAAATAAGAGATGGTAAATTCATTTTTTTTTTCCCTATCATATCAAACAACAAAAGGAAAATCAAAATATTTTCTATCCTTTTATTTTTCTATTCATTATAGTTTTTCTTTTTTTTTTCCTCATATCCTTTCCTTACTAAACACAGTGTTTTAAGACTAGAAGAGTACTTGTACATTAAATCCTTTAATAATAACTAAAGCTTATGTGACTTGTGTCCATTCCGTCAAAAACCCTAACAAAAAGAGGGTTTTTTTTTTTTTTTTTTTTAAATTTTAAGGAACATATGTTACATCTTGAACAATGAGAATCAAAAGTTCTGTTCAATTCATGTAATCGAATTGTGTGGTTCTAAACCTTTGGATTTAGACTTATATATAAGTTTTTTGTGAGTCAAACAAGCACTGATAATATAAGGTCTAAATAAAAAATAAAGATTAAAGTAGTGTTTGGTTACATTACTAGAACTATGAATTTAAAAAAAAAAGTGAGTAAAAATGAGTTTAATTAATAGTATTTTAGATTAGAACCCAGAAAACTTCAGGGAAAAGGTAAGTTCCATTGAACCTTCAATTTTGAGTTGAAATGAACACAAAATCTAAATTCAAATTCAAAATTTATGTAATTAAACAAGGGCCTAAATTATTATTTTTAGTTTAAATCTATCACATCCCTCTAACTAAACAGGCTAAAAGTATTATACGAATCATAAATTAGAATGATTTTCATAAGAAAATTTTTCTGGTATTCTATTTTTTGGAAACAACAGTATTCTATGTTTATTAGTCGTCAATTTGTAATATTTTTTTTATTTAATTTAACTTTTAATTAAATTTAATATAAAATTAATAACTGATAAATAAAAAATATTAGTATTTAAAAAAAAATGCCTGAGAAATTTTTTTTTATAATTAATCTCAAAAGACCGGATTATAGTTATAAAAGTTTCGTTCACTTCGTAAATTTAAATTTTTAATTTAAGTTGAGATGTGATATTTTTTTAAAATTTTTTACTGTAATAAAAAAATTATATATGATATTTTTTTAAAATTTTTTATTATAAAAATTTAAAATTTAAAATTTAAATGGGTAAAATGGATTCAAATCGATAAAACAGATGATGAGGCGAAAGAGTATCATTGTCAATTTGACTTGTGTAGAGTAGGCAGCAAATTCCTTCTGGTTCTACTCCAAAAACCTTCTCTCTCCAAAATAATCGAAGGAGAGAGAGGCACAAAAACCGCCACAAATGGCAGAAGACGTCGAACCAGCCGAGCAGCTCAAACTCCAACTCTCCTCCATGGATTTGAACTCCGACCATTTTCCAATTCCCCAAAACTTGTCCGCTATCAGGTACTTTGTCTCTGTTCTACTTCCAATTCCTCTTCGCTTTCTGCAACCAACCCAAGAATAACATTTTCCAATTTTCAAACGACGACAGGGAAGAGAGGGACGTTTTCTACGACGACGACGGTTTGGTTCTCGATAACGTCGGATTCGATAACGTTGTTGTCGTTGATAACCTTCCTTTGGTGGTCCGAGAAGAGGTGGTTCGGACACTCGAGAGCGATGTTCGGGAGATTTTCGGCGCGGTTGGTGTGATTAAGAAGGATGGTTTCTCAATGCCTGTCAATCCTCAAACCCTAGAAACCTTGGGACATTGCTATATTGAATTTACTACTCGTCAGGTAAACACGTAATAATTGTCTGCAAGTAATTTGGTACGCTTATGCAAAATTTTCTCTGGATTTTGGTAACCCCAATTACCCAATTCTGAGAAGGTTTTTTTTTTTTTTTTTTTGTTTTTTTTTTTGTTGTTGTTGTTGTTGTTGTTGTTGTTGTTGTTGTTGTTGTTGTTGTCGAGACAGTCTGTTTTAGAATGTTGATCACTGTGCAGTGCTATTTTTATTTCAATCTCTTATGGGAATCATACGGTGGAGCAAACAAGCTATTTTGTTTTATTGGTAGGGATAATATCTTTTTACCGTGAATTAATTTTTTAACTGTTAGATTTATGATCCGTCTTAAAATTTTATAGTGCGCCATATAGATTTGCTTCTGCTATTTGTTTAACCGTTGAAAAAAAAAATTTAATAGTTAAAATACAGGCTTTACCGGTGGAGTAAAAATAACTTGTTCCACCGTAAAGATTCATTTTTTATTGGTATTTGACGATTTCATCCATGAAATTTTGGCGAATTGGCAGAGTTTTTCCCCTGATTTAATAATGTTAGTAAATTACTTTTTGCGTTTAATGAAGTGTTATAGAGTGTTGTTAAAATTTGGACAGAAACGTCTTCGTTTAAAGGATAGAAATTGTAATTTTGGATGACATCGGAACACGTGTGAACGATGGCCATTTTCTTCTAAAATTTAACAGCAGTTATTGATTTGGAGCACTCAGCAACATTTTATTAAATTCAAATGGAATTTGCTAAAAAAGTATAAAGAAAACTTGTAAATTTGCGAAAAGTTTAAGGTTAGAAAAAGCACTGAAACCCAGTTGTTAGCGTACAACCATAATGGGACAATGCATGCATATGAGAAGATTAAACCATTTTGGTCAATGCAATATTGTACGTCTATCTTGTCCTGTAAAAGGACTTCATTTTCATTGTGATGCACAAAACGCAACGGTTTAATAGCGCATTGCTATAGAGGGTCGATAGTGTTGAGTATCACACACTAGTAGAAGGTGAGTCCCGTAGTGTCAGGCTCACAAATAGATCCACCTTCTATGATTTGTGGCGCTTAACACTGGTGGTCTCTTGCTTAATTGTTATTCTTGGAAGCTCCCAGCTTTTTTCTTTCTAATACGTTTAATTGTTATTCTAGGAAGCTGAGCTCGCCACAGAAAACATGGATGGATACAAGTACGGAAAGTCTATACTTTCTGTAGCCTTATACGATGACCTTCACAGATTTGTGGGTATTTCACCAGAGCTTGAGTCGTACATTGCCGAGGTAATGATAGATCTATAAATGTGATTTCTAAAACGTTCTACAAATGAAGTACTTTAATTCCTGAAAGAGTTGCTAATTGTTTTATTCTCTTAATTTCAGTTAGTTGCCTTGCTTGCCTGAATATTGCCTCAAAACTTTATGTAATGATCTTTCTTGATATGCTTAATAGCTGAATCTCATTCCCTTTGTTTTGAGTACAGAAAAGAGAAGATGACGGAACAGAGAATACTCAAAGTGAAGATGAAGAGGAAGATGAAGATGAGATCGAGGGATACGATACTAGTTCAATATCAGAGGAAGAGATGGAAAGCTGAGGCAAGTAGGGAATTGCATTCCGTAGCAGGAATAAAGCATGTTGATAGAGTCGCATTATCCCGAGCAAAAATACTTTGAAATTCAGGCTAGTACTTGGTGTTGTGAACTTCGGATTTTGGATTTTGTATATGTCCACCGAAACTCCATGCAACTGTTTTGGAAGGAAAATAGCCAGCATATACTTCAGTTCAGGTTGAGAAAAACATGTGAAATGTAAAGGAGAATTTGAAAATTTAGCTATGATACTTTTGTCATGGGAAAACATGCGGCCTCGAGTACGAAAGGATTGCTGGGATTAGTGATGATGCTTGCATAAATGACAGCAGAAATGCACAACACCATGCCATTTAACGTGATAGGCCGCAACCTAAATTGGTTTTTGTAAATAAAAGTTCTTGGATTTTGAAATTAATCATATCCGACTATTATGGAGAGTGTGAACTTCCTGATGACTGTGGTTAGATGTGACAGGTATCACGACTTGATTTAAGTTTTGTTATATACAAGGGCTAAAAGAAAACAGAAAATCAAGAAACAATCGCTAAGGACCAAATCATACATCATTCTTTTTCCCTTTTTCTTTTTTGGCTGGAAATTCAGTCAATTCAAATGTTAGTGGAAGTCATTTGCACAACTCAAGTCGTGACTTGAGTTCTGTACATGATAGAAAAAACACTATAATAAAAAAATTAAATTTAAATTTTTTTGAAAAAAAATAATGTAGTAATATAATTTAAGTCATGAAATGAGACTTAAATTGTGAAACTTGTTGACAGAATGACAGTAAAGGGGTGGAGAATAACTAGACTTGAAGTTTTGGCTTTAATGGAGTAATTGAAACTGCCCCCTTTGGAACTCAAGGGCCAAGGCAGATGATTGTCTCTCAAATGCCCATTGGTAGTGTTAGTGTAGCAACTCTTTCTGGTGAGAGTACAACAATTAAGTAGCCAAAACAACTTTAAATTCTAACAATTGCATCATTGGATTCAATTGATTCCAAGGGATCAAGTTTCATTTGATCCTCTGATTCTCTTCTTCTACTTCTCCATAATTTTCCTTGTCGACAAGAATCGGAACAATGCACGAACTGTCTAAACCTCCGTAAAGTCATTCTACCAAACCCAAACATTTAGCAAACAAAGAGCACGAGTAAATATAGGCTACTGTTTCCTACCCTTGTCAATTCTTTCAAATTTGATCACAAATTCACAATTACATAGCATGTTTCTAAATGTTAAATTTTATCAAAATCGCATCAAAACAATGTGTTTATATATGTGTGTGTATTATATACACACACAAGACTGATAAAACCTAATATACATCTTATCCTAACAGAAAAATCTCAATTTGTTGAACCCAAAAACTCTACAATAATACTCGACCTTTACAAACCATGGAATCCAACCCCCAAAACAAACCTTTTCATTTGTACCCCAAACCTCCAATAAACCTCTATTTAGTCCTTATTAGCTTCAAAACCGCCCTTCCACACAACGCTTCATCATAACTTCACAAATCACAAAGTGGATTAGGGAAAAAGATAATAACAAAATAATAAGAGGATTAGGGAAAAACAGACTTCTGAGCCATTTATCCAATCAATTCACAAGAGAAAAGCTCGTGAACAGAATGCACAATCTGGGTTTCTTCTAATATGCTATATTAATTCCTAATTATCTAATATTAATCCCTTATTTCATATTTTCATCAGCTCCACGGCTACTGAACTACTAAAGCAAGAACAAACTAGAAAAATTAATTGCAAAAGAAACTCAATTCGCATAACAAGAAAATCGATTATCAAACAAAAATTACATCTTTTTTCCGTTCGGGCCTCAAATTCCAACAAAACCATAACGCAAACTTCAAATGACATCCTTTTCATGTCAAAAGGCGACGCGGAACTGCGGCGCGTCGGAGGAACTCGCAGGAAGGATCTCCCAGCGGCAGGGCTCGAGGTCGTCGGAGACGGGGCAGTATCCGGCGAGCGTGACTTTGTCGGCGGAGGCGGCGACGGACCCGAACTCGAAGACGGTGATGTTTGGCGGCGGACGAGGGACCTCGACGGCGCCGTTCATGCCCGGAACCTCGGAGGGCTTAGGGTTTGGAGAGGATTTGGAGTTCTCCGATTGTTGGGACTGCTTCTTGTTGTTGTCGCTGCCTTTCCACCAAGATAGAACGCCCATGGTTGGTGCTGGTAGTATTGCAGTGCTGACGACTCAAAAGGGAGTGACTTGTGAGGAAATGTCTTGGACTTTGATTTATTAGTCGAAGCTCTTTTTTTTTTTTTTTTTTTTTTTAAATCTCGTTAGGGAAAATTAGGCTGTTCATTTCGCTGATTCGAGTTTGTAATTCGAGTTGAGATGTGATTTTATGTGAGAACTTTTTACTGTAGCAAAAAAGTTAGATGTGATTGTTTGTGAGAGCTTTTTACTGTAGCAAAACTCGAATTTTAAACTCGAATTGGTGAAGTGAACGGAGCCGGATAACCAATTTTTGACTTTTTTTTTTTTTTTTGAAAAACCAATTTTCACCAGATTAATGGCTGAAGACTGCATTTTTAGCATGTTAGGAACTCATTTTAAAATAATTTTATTTTTTATATGAAAATAAAAATAAAAATATTTTTAATTTTAGATAAAAATTATTTTTTAAAAATATATTTAGTAGTTTTAAGAAATTATTTTTAATATAAAAAAACTCATTAATATTTCTATCTCTTTCTCTCTGCTCGAAAGAGGAGAAAACGAAAATAAAAAATAAAAAACGACTAAAAGTCGTTTTTTATTTCTCTCTCATTTTACACTAAATTAAAAAATCATTTTCATTTCCGTTTTTTTATTTTTATTACGTCAAACACTATTTTAAAAACGTTTTCATTTTTTATTTCTCAAAAAATGTGAAAAATAAAAACGGGATCAATTCCAAATACGGCCTTTATTTTTGTATAATTTGCATCATTAGTCCTTAAATTTTTTTAGTAAGTAACATTTTAGTCCTTCTTCTTTTAATTTTGACAAAACGATCCCCCTAAACTCTTAAAACGTTGACAATTAGGCCCTTTCTGTCCACATTTGTTAAGTTTTGGGTTTGTTTTTATAAATACGGGGAGTGCTTTTACATAATAAGAGGACGAAAGTGATATTTTGATAAAATATATAGAGTGTTTTGAGTATTATCGCTTCTATTTTAGATAAATGTCTAAACTTTTTATTTTATAGGTAAATGATTATTTCTTAAAACAATGGCCAGTCATTTATAAAGCAGGGATAACTTCGTAAAATATTGAGTGAAATTAGTTAATTAACAATTGATATTGTTTAATCAATGATAAATTACCAAATCAATAAGTGACATCACTAAGTTAATTAAACTAATTTAACATGATTTTATCATTGATGAAAGACCACTAACATAAGTTTACAAAACTCTAGTCATTCACTGAAAGTTAGTTAAAAAAGGGTCATTTTTCCACATATCCTTTTTTTCTTTTGTTTTTTACTTTATCTAAAGAATTTGGTGTTTAAAAATGACTTATTGGTAGGCAGTGTATTAAAATAATATTATGTTTATAAAAGAATCAATTTAAAATTTTATACCAACTTTGTTCTAGTAATAAAGTAAGTGAGGGCCCGTTTGAAAAGTAACTCAAACTATAATTTTTAATTCTGATGTTTGAAATTTAAATTTTTTATGAAAGAAAAATACTATAACATAATTAATAATTAGAATTTGAGTATATAAAACAAACAGCCTCTGAAAGTGTCAAAAATGTTAACAAATAACGCTTTAAATATGAATCTAAAAGGCGCCTCTCATACTTTATTAGCTTATAAACTCATGTAGAGAGAACATAATTTTTTTTTGTTTTTAAAAATTTATTAAGTCATGATTTATTGATTTGTTTAAAATACCAGTTGTATGTGAGTATATCACACAATTATTTTCATTGATTTTTAATGATTTTGTTTTTGACTGAAGGACCAAACATGAAACAAAAAACATATTGTAAAATGTAATTTGTAACCTTTTGAAGTTACGAGCCAAAAGTGAAAATCAATTATATTTTTAAAATAAGAATAACAACACGTTAACTTTATACAGAACACTGTAGCAGAATCAAAATTATGAGTTTAAATGCACGAAAAATACATACTCTAATTTTATAAATGTCCTCTGAACTATGTATCCTAGTCAATATGTGCCCTCAAAATTTAAATTCAAAACACCATTTGAATCAATGTAATTTCTTAAATGTCTTTAAATTATTGATTTTTTTTTTGTCAGTTTGTCCCCAATATATTTTAAAACTTGTTGGACAAAATAAAAATTAATAGTTTGAGAGGCAAAAGTTGACTTAAGATTGATTTTGATGGATTTTGATGTAATTATTCTATTATTATTATTGACAGATGTGAATGGAGAGAATGCTTTGAATGAAATTATATAATTTATGAGTGAAGTAAATCATTTTACAAAGTTTGTGAGTACGTTGAATTAGGATAAATAGTATAAGGCCATTTATAAAATGAGAATTTCTCTTGTGTTTCTTATTTTTTAGGAACACCAATGTTCTCAGTTTATCAACCGTCAGATTTGTATTACTTTTTCAATTTGATTTGATTTTTAACTAGATTTAATACATATCCGACGATTGATAAGTAAAAAACACCGGTATTCTTAAAAAACTAAGAACCAGAAAAAGTTCCTTATAAAATTAATTTAAGAAAGAAAACAATAACTTTTTCAGATCTTTGCAATAGAACATGTGGTAAAAAGATCTCACACTGTTCTTTGAATAGTAAATGCCCGTTCTTCTTAGGCCCACGCGGGCCGTGGGCCGGCCCGGCCCGGCCCACGAATTATGTGGGCTGGGCCGGGCTGGCGCATATATGAATTACCTCGGCCTAGCCCAGCCCACAGGCCAACTTTACGTGGGCTAGGCTGGGTTGTGCCATGGGCCTTGAATGGGCTGGCCCATATTGGCCCATCATGGGTTTAGATGAGCCAGCCCATCTAAGCATGGCAATTTTCATTTTTTTTATTTTTTTTATTTTTGAATTTTTAAACAAGTTAACAAATATAAAAGTTTGAATAGTCAATGGGAATATGAAAAGATATATTTTATTTACGATTGCCTCATTAAAAACCTTTCCAAGGAAAACCCAGTGGAACAAAACCTTAGTAAGGAAAAAAGAGTGCGATCAGGATAATTATACATAAGATGTTTAAATTACTAAAACAAAGAAAAAAACATTATAAAATAGATATTGTTCGTTATTACAATGTATTACTCCCAGTGGGAGTATCAGAAATGTCTAAATTTTCAAAGTCATCAACCCAATCATCTTGAACTTGTTGGCTTCTTCTACGAGCGTCCTCCTAATCTTTGATGCACATTATTGCCTTCAGAATATCGTCACTCAAGTGTTCACGACGTTCATCAAGTACTCTATCATTGCAACTAAATGTTGGGAATGGTGTCCTAGAAGCATAAGATGTAATAGGATATTTATTATTTATTTAATAAAAGAGTTTATTCATCATTTTATGTGTATATATTTGTGAATATTTTATGAATATCAATGAAAATTCCGTGATTATTTATATAACCTTAAACATTGTATATAAGTGTTATATATAAGAGGATAATGTTTAAGGATAATAATAAAAAAGCAATGTTCATAATGAATTTAATTAAAGTTCAGAATCTTTAATTAAAACATTATTAGGCCCACGCGGATAATGTTTAAGGATAATAATCAGTAAATGCCCGTTCTTCGTAGGCCCACGCGGGCCGTGGGCCGGCCCACAAATTATGTGGGCCGGGCCGGGCTGACGCATATATGAATTACCTCGGCCCAGCCCAGCCCACAGGCCAACTTTACATGGGCTAGGCTGGGCTGTGCCATGGGCCTTGAATGGGCTGGCCCATATTGGGAAATCATGGGTTTAGATGGGCTGGCCCATTCAAGACCCATATTGGCCCATCATGGGTTTAGATGGGCCAGCCCATCTAAGCATGGCAATTTTCATTTTTTTTATTATTTTTATTATTTTTATTATTTTTATATTTGAATTTTTAAATAAGTTAACAAATATAAAAGTTTGAATAGTCAATGGGAATATGAAAAGATATATTTTATTTACGATTGCCTCATTAAAAATCTTTCCAAGGAAAACCCAGTGGAACAAAACCTTAGTAAGGAAAAAAGAGTGCAATCAGGATAATTATACATAAGATGTTTAAATTACTAAAACAAAGAAAAAAAAACATTATAAAATAGATATTGTTCGTTATTACAATGTATTACTCCCAGTGGGAGTATCAGAAATGTCTAAATTTTCAAAGTCATCAACCCAATCATCTTGAACTTGTTGGCTTCTTCTACGAGCGTCCTCCTAATCTTTGATGCACATTATTGCCTTCAGAATATCATCACTCAAGTGTTCACACCATTCATCAAGTACTCTATCATTGCAACTAAATGTTGAGAATGGTGTCCTAGAAGCATAAGATGTAATAGGATATTTATTATTTATTTAATAAAATAGTTTATTCATCATTTTATGTGTATATATTTGTGAATATTTTATGAATATCAATGAAAATTCCGTGATTATTTATATAACCTTAAACATTGTATATAAGTGTTATATACAAGAGGATAATGTTTAAGGATAATAATAAAAAAGCAATGTTCATAATGAATTTAATTAAAGTTCAGAATCTTTAATTAAAACATGTCATTCCCATTTAGATTGGAACGGTGTTATCTGCACTGTTAATATGGTGAGATATTGAATGAGTGTATTTCGCATAATGAGATTATGTGGAACAAGGACACAGACAAAATATGAATTTCTAATAATGTCCGTTAAGTATAGAAATTCTAATTGAGTGTACCGATGGTCATATATAGAATGATCTTAATCCTGAGTTCTTAACAGACTCCTATTTATGAATTTGTGTCTTTTGATTTACTTGGTACGGATTCTGAGATCCTGAATCCTATTCCTTGTATTTTGGAGACAT